CCACTGAACCATCTGTGGCCTTGGACCAACTAATTAGCTGTTGTGGGCTTCAAGTCATTCACCTGTTGGTTGTAGATAAAAATTTCACTTCCTGGGGTACAGACAGATCAATGTTTTTAACTCTCTACAGAAAAGATGCCCTATGAAGTTGAAAATAACTGATATGATATTGTAGAGTATTTAGACTTCTTAGAAAAGTCCCTTTATGGTATTTTCACTTTCTTTTTTCTGCCTAAAGTAGACATAGCTTCAACCAAATCTCTCATTTTAATCCATGTCCTATCCATAAAAAATGCATAATGAGTGTATTGATGAATTACCATGCAAGCTGAGAAGCTACATGCTGGCTAGCTTGAGGATTCAATTAAAATTGAGCAATATTATTTTGAATAATCAAATGCTGTTTTGAATAAGTAATTCAAGTAAACAAGGCAATTAGTAAAAAGTGATGGTGATGAAGTTGAGTGGGAGCAATTCTTACATATGTATATATGAAATATAATTTATATATACATTCTAAATATAATTTCAGAATTGAAAAACATAATAGCTTGTTGGAATGGAAAAGTTTATATTGGAAATAATAATTTCCCCAAACAGCTAAGTGCTTTAACAGCCATTCTATAATCCTCTTTGATAAAACATGTTCAATAAAGTTCATAGTACTATATTTAGTACTAATGTAAAAGATGTCCCTGCCCTGTAGCCAGGTCTAGAGCTAATATGAAAGTTTGGACTGTCTTTATATAAACCACATTAAACAACTGTATGAAAAACAGTCCAAGAAAGTGTTCATGTGATAGGTAGGTAATTCAAACATCTATTCTCTTCCTGTCTGTTTCTGTCTCTCTCTTTCTTAGAATTGGCTCAGGTAATTGTGGAGGCTGGCAGGTCCAAAATCTGCAGGGTAGGCTGGCAGGCTGGAGACGCAGGCAAGAGATGATGCTGTAGTTCAAATCTGAAGGCTGTCTTTTGGCAGAATTCTCTCTTCTTTGGGGAGCTTAGTCTTTTTTATTCTATTTTGTTATTAATTTTTAAAATTTGAGTATAGCTGACATACCATGTTATATTAGTTTCAGGTGCACAACATCATCATTCATTAATTCTATATGTTATGCTAGGCTCACCACAGTATAGCTACCATCTATCACCATACAATGGTATTATAATATCTTTGACTATATTCCCTATGCTGTACCTCTTAGTCTCATGACTTATTAACTTCATAACTGAATACCTGTACCTCCCACTCCCCTTCACCCATTTTGCCAATCTTCCCCACCCTTACCTCTCTGGCAACTACCAGTTTGTTCTCTGTATTCATAGATCTTATTCTGCTTTCTGTTTATCCATTTGTTTTGTTTATTAGACTCCAATTATAAGTGAAATCATATGATATTTGTCTTTCTCTGTCTGGCTTATTTCACTTATTTCCTAATACTTTCTAGGTCCATCCAGGTCAGTCTTTTTTATTTTTTTATTTTTTATTAAGGCCTTCAACTGATTGGAAGAGGCCCATACACATTATGGAGGGTAATGGGCTTTACTTCTAGTCTGCTGATTTAAATATTAATTTTATTTAAAGTGCCTTTATAGAATAACTGTGTATTATGGCCCAGCCAAGTTGAAAAATTCACGATCATACTATGCCATACATTTTTGTAGCCTTCCTTCAAATCCTTGTTGAAATGAGGTAGGGTACAGTATGTACCTAAAGTTAAACATGGTTTTTCTTTTCAGGTATTTGTAAAAGCATTATCTGGCATGACCTTTTGTTTGCTTAAGCCCTACCCTGTCTTCTTTGGGATGGCTACTTTTTCATCAATCTGGCTCTGAAGAGCTGTATGTAGCCAGAAGCTGCAAGCCAACCATCCCTGCCATGGCAAACAGATGCTCCCATTTATGCCTTCCACTGGCTATGCCTCTAAATGGAGATTTAAAAAGCCTGAACATCAATTATGTAAGTATTAAGTAAACACTTAAACTTCAGTTTTATAGTTGTCTTACCTAAGACTTTAGTTGCAAGTATTAGGAACACATTTCTAATTCTTTAAGCAAGAAGAAAATTCATAAGAAGGATTCAAGCAAAATTAGGGTGGCTTGTGTTATTCAAACTAAAAAGAAATAAATAATAGGTAAAAACCCTGATGTTAACTGTATACTGTGATTATGAAGGTTCTTAGTATCTCAGAGCAACTAGATCAGGAAGTTCTTCTTTATGTACTACCTAATTTCTTGCTGCTGAAATTTTTCTGTCTGACTAATAGTAGAAGAGAAACTTTTCATCTCTGGGTCAGGTGTTTATCACAGGGCTAAGAGGCTGTGGCCAGGACACCACATCAATATCGATAGTAAAAGTATAGATTTTGGGAGCCGTGTGTGTGTGTGTGTGTGTGTGTGTGTGTGTGTGTGTGTAAGGGTGCAAGAGGGGAAGGCAGAGGAGAAGGGAAGGGACAAAGAGACATGAAGGTGAGTATTTCTCAGTGAACAGATGCTTGGACTGGGCAGACAGGATAAACCTTGTGTATGATGGCCTTTTCTCTCATAATTGGAAGTTTTAAGCCACTTAGAATACTAATAAAGAAGAAGTCCTAATATTAGGGTGTGGACGTGTTTTTGAAAGATCTACTAGCCAATCTCCTCACCCTACTTTCCTAAGAAATGTTTTTTATTAAACATTGTACTTACTGACTATGAGAAGGAAGAGTAGCAATATATAAGGTAAAAATAAAACTTCCCCATTCCAATATCAGCCCCCACGCCATCACCCCAGTACCATTCACTAGAGGTTAAACTTGCTCTATTTGGAAGGTAGCCTTCAGATATGTAACTAAATATGTAACTATCTTTTTCTTAAAACATCTGTAACATATACATAGTATCTATCAGGATCTTTTTAACTGCAAGTGAGGGAAAACTTAAATCAAGCTCACTAAATCTGTGAAGATATTTATTATCTTAGTAGCAGGAAGTCTGAGGGTAGGGTGTCTCTAGGCACAGCATGATTAGGGCTCTGGGTCAGATTTGTGTGATTTTGTTGTTGTTTTGCTTCCTATATGTGTTGGCTGGTCTTTCCTCATGGTGGCTAGATGGATCTCAATAGCATCTGGGTCCCATGCCTCCTTATTCATAGCCAACCAGGAGGGAGAAAACGTACCGCTGTCATGGAATAATTTGGATCAATTTAAATCTTATGTTCGTCTCTGGGTCAATAGCAATTGTGGAGCACTGCCACATGTGGATTGGTTTAAGGCTGGATTCCTAACCAATCACTGATGAGGGGGAATGGGTTATCATGATCAGATTAGACTAATCAGAATCCACCCCCTGGAGATAGGGTCAATTTCTGCTGGGTTACATGATCTATGTGGGGGAAAACTTGAATACATGTTGAGATGGAGGCAGTAGAGGACAGCTGTCGTGTAGGCAAACAACAATGCCATTTAAATGTTTGTGAACATATGACATGTATGTTATTTTTTACCCCCACTGGAAGACCATACTGTACATCTGATTTGCCTTTCTAAGTAGGGAATTATTCTGAAATTTTTGAGCTAAGAACTGAAGATTAGAATTTACAGATTTGTTAGGATGTTTATGAAAAGTAGAAACAGATATTTTCATAGAGCCTAGAAACAGGGGCCAGGAAAGGATAATATTTTAGGATATTAGTAATTGATAACTACCTCAGGGCAATGAGAGCCACATAGAAAATGTTTGAAGGGAGGGAGGAATTGCTGCTATTGTGAGTGTGCCTTTGAGGTCTCCTCCTTGCCCTTGCTGCTGACTGGCAACTTTCAACTAGTCATTCTTTCACAATTCCTGCTCAGCCACCTCCCCAGGTCTTGAAATGACCATTTATCAGATGGTAGATGATAGTGTGAATTTAACCATGTCTTTATTATACTGATATACTTATACTGAATACTGATAATGTTCACAAAAGTCCATATAACTTTTCCAAATGTTGCTGGCTATTAGAAACTAGAATCTCTATGATTTATATTAGTCAAATAGAATTCATTCCAGATACTTGACTATATTGTATAGTCCAGTCATTAGTAAACTGGTACATGTACCAAAAGCTGATTGCACTCCAAGATGCAGGTGGTTCCCGGTGTATCCAAGGTGACACCCACTTTTTCTTCTGCATCATTCTTCAGCAGTTGTAGTGGAACATAGTGATCCTCACACTCACCTTTTATGGGTCTGACTTGGAGGTAGGTAGATGACAGGGTCATGGAAAGCCAGGGATAGTGTCTTAGGTGGTATGCACCTCCTAGGGGCAGTGACTTTTCTGTGAGACTGGAGGAGTGATGGTCTAGAAGAGGTGTTAGGAGCAAGGAATCTCCTGTAACATTCTCATCTCCGAGGGATATGGTTCAATGCACAGCCTTTACCTGGTGAGTTGCTAGAGAAGTAGAGTCCTTGGTAGTGAGACAGGAGAAGGAGGCAGGGTTCAGAGAGGCTGTTCTTATGTGATTGCTTAGAGAAAAGCAAGCCTCAGCTGGGTCTCAGCACACTGGCTGTCGAGGGTGAGGGAAGAGGTTCTCAAGGCAGTCACCAGTAGTCTGGGCTCTTACTCATACTCTCTGGGCATCAGGTAGAGGTGAAAATACCTAACTGGCAAGGCTGTTGTGAGGATCAACTATAATTGCCAATCCTGGACATACCTTTGTTTTGAAGTTGTTGTTTTCCAACCCTGCATCATAATGTAAAAGTTTATTCTCTAAGTGAAGCTGATCTCATCTATAGGAAAAAAAGATTCTTGGCTTCTACCTTTCCCCTTCTATTGCTGTTCTCTTATGATATACCTCTGCTTAAAGAAAAGGTGTCAGTGATTTGGCCACCCCATTGTCAAACTGTTGCCAACTCTTTTTTTATTTCTAGGTTCATAATTTATTGTACAAATTGAGTATCACACGATGAGTTGACATTGGCTTCCCCAGGCATGGGAACTTAACAGATGAGGTACAGGTTAAAATCCATTTATGTTGCTTTCACAGCTGGTGTTTTTTTAAGACCTTAATATATAAGACCATCAAAGCAATGCCTCCGTATGTGGCCAGTACACAGTTCATTCTACCTGTGACAGTAAAAGAGTTGAAATATTTTTTGATACTAGTGAAATGGAATTGGGCATTAGTTTTTGGACCTGCCATGATTTCAATCTTGCAAAAGGCACCAATTCCACTGGTTGTCGAACTGTTGCCAACTCTTGGTATATGCAAAGCACTGTGGAGAACTCCCAAGGCTCCAATTGCTTTATAAAACCTTAAAATCACTTAGTGATGCTTATCAACAACTAATATTAATGGATAATGATGAAAACCACAGATGTCTTCCCAGAACTGACAGCATAAAATCAATTGAGACTGAGCCATCTTTTTTTGTCAGGAAATGTCATAAAATTATGAAAGTAGTGTATTTTCAACTTTGGTCTTATGAAAAGTTTTCTTTATTTTTTAGTACTAAATTATCATGCCTACCTGTTTTATAGTAATAACATCTAATGCAATTGATTGAACTATCTGAGGAAAAGAAACATATTAGAAAAGTTTCAAGAACTTTAACAAATTTATAAATTTATTTATTCTTTTTTTTTTTAAGATTTTATTTATTTATTTGAGAGAGAGAGAGAGAGAGAGAGAGAGAGAAGGAGAGAGAGAAAAGGAGCAGGGGGAGGGGCCGAGGATGAAGCAGGCTTCCTGCCACATGGGGAGTCTGGTTCGATTGCATAGTCCTGGGGTCATGATCTGAACCAAAGGCAGACTACCCAACTGAATGAGCCACCCAGGCACCCTTTTTTATAAATGTTTTTAAAAGGTAGTCATAATATTGCTAAACAGGCTACTGCAGAGACTATGATAGAATTTTTTCAGATTGTGTAGGCACCAACCGTTAAACCTTGAGCTTTGACTATGAAGATTAACACTACAGTCTCATCAGAGCATGCATGGTGGGCTTCAGATAACTACGTTGGAGGGGGCTGAGAGAAGAAATTTGTGTTCTATGCTCACTGTGAACTTGATAAACCCTCATGGCCACTTTGATATTGTTTTTTAGTTGGAGGCAAGGAGATTTTGCTGAACAGCTTTTGGTTGTTTAGAATTGAACTCCATGTCTGAATATATAGCAGTTAATATTGTATTCTTAGAAGTTTTCTGTTGAGGAGAGCCTGGGTGGCATAGTCTGTTAAGTGTCCAAGTCTTGATTTCGGCTCAGGTTGTGATCTCAGGACCGTGAGACTGAGTTGTCAGGGTTGGTGCTGGGTGTGAAGCCTGCTTAAGATTCTCTCTTCTTCTTCCTCTCCCTCTATCCCTCACCGTGCGCCCTTAAAAAAAAAAGTTTTCTTTTTAAATTTAACCAATATCTACTGAGCTCTTATTACATGCAAAGATTGACATTATGGGCTGGAAATATGGATAGGATAGAACTCTATCCTCAAGGAGCTTAACATTTAGTGGGAGATACACATGTATTTTCAAATTTCAAACTGGATCTCAACAGCATCCTTATATATGTGTAGGTAGCCAACAACAACATACATGTACAAAATGGTAAAAATATAATCTTTTAAAATAGCTAATAGCAGACTTATATTTAAGAGGGTGATTACTGGGGCACCTGGGTGGTTCAGTGGTTGAGTGTCTGCCTTTGGCTCAGGTTGTGATCCCGGGGTCCTGGGATTGAGTCCCACATCGGGCTCTCCTTAGGGAGCCTGCTTCTCCCACTGCCTATGTCTCTGCCTCTCTCTCTGTGTCTCTCTTGAATAAATAAATAAAACCTTTGAAAAAAAAGTGAGGGTGATTACTTTCCCCAAAGAGGAATTTACTGACCTTTTTCTGGAGGCATATAAGCCTGTATTCTCAGAGCTGAATGAAAGAAGCTAGAGGTCCCATTGTTTACAGTGCTGATTTCCACTTTCCCCCCTGTTTTAGTTATATTCCAAGGTAGATTTGCCTGGAGTACAGACCTCGTCCTGTCAGCCTCTCCAGAAGTAAACCTGTCTGCTAGAAGGAGGGGACCTGGGTCTTTAACCACTCTTGATGCAGAATTTCAATAAATCCTTCTATTGTTACTCCAGGGACATATCCCACCTATGAGGCAGACTTTGTTTCTCATTCCTGAAAATTTCTTGTCCATCTGCTTATCATCTTCCAAAATTTGTTAACCTTATTTACTGTCATTTCCTTTAGCAGGTTTCTTTAGTATTTGGGATTTATTAATGTTACTTCCTTTACTTTTATTTTTTGGGGCTTTGAAGAAGAAGCAGAGGTAATCTCTTTTCGCAAAACTTGTGTACAATCACCTACGTTTAGCCCTGTGGGATCTTTGAACATGGCACCAAAACCTGACACCTTTGTGGCATTGCTTCCAGACCACAGCATGTGTTGGTCAGAATGATTCTTGGCATCTCTCACTCATGTTGTATATCGACCCAGTTGGAGGTTTACTATGAAATAGCATATGCCACATTCCAGGTCTAAAGGATGTTACATCACTCTCTGGGCATCTATGTGACATTATCATAATTGAACCCATGTCTGTCTGCCTGATGCACAGTAACGTTAATCACTAAGACATCAGGTTTGCAGCAAGGAAAGGACTTACTTGAGAGGCAGCCAAAGGAGGAGACAGGAAAGCAAGACTCAAATCTGCCTCCCTGAAGGGGAAGAGAAAAAACAGTTTATAGTCTTAGGGGTTGTGATTCCACACGTATTGATGACAAGAGTGGGGAGACTTATGACTGACTATTCAAGAGGAAAGATGGAGCTTGTGCATTGAACAAACATACATCCAGTGTTGACTTTGGGGTGGAGACTTAATATCAGAAAGGGTCAAAATTCAGCCCCTGATGTCAAGAGTATATCTTAGGACAAGAAGAAGGGGCTATGGGCATGTTCCAAGAGCTAGTATAAACTGGATGGGGTCTTGGGCACATTATCTCTGGTAAGGCGTGCAAGGCCTTGCTTGCTCATAGGCTGAAACCATATTAGTTGACTTTGAATCTAGGCTTCTGCAGAGATACCTGGTAGATTTGTTAGTGGGTCCAAAAACTGCAATAGCTGATTAAGCAGAAACAGTTTTCTGAAAAACAAGCTTTAAATTTTCTGCTAGTTTCAACCTCATTAACCCTATGGAGCATGGTTTCAATTCCCCCTAAGATATGATCATTCTTCAATCTTGAAGGAATTAAGATGGTGCCCACTCTAGCTATTTTCCTTATCTCCTCTGGTAAGGTAGGTTTCAGGTAAAGAGCGGTTTTGCAAATCTTAGCTGTAAGCAAAATTCCTTTGACGATTAACATGCCTACATGCAGGGCTAAGTGGGAGTGTCTAATCTGTAGATCACAGAAGCAACATGGAGTCACACATGCTAAGCTTCTCCCTGTTACATTATATACCATAGGGCCTACCTACATTTGGTAAATATTCGAATGGGCAAAGTAGTATACTAAGTGGGATGTAAGATTTGAATAAGACATGCAATTGGACCTTAAGGATTCTAGTCTCTATATACTATGCTGAGGAAGCTAAGAACACACATAAGTAACTATAATACAATAAAGGAAATGCTAAATGCCCTGGTAGGTCCTGAGTAGGCACTCAGAGAATTCAGGTGAGGAAAAAAATAATTATGATGGAAAAGACAATGAAGACCAGAAATGGAAAAGACGTGAAGATCTGACCTGGCGCAGAAGGTTGAATAAAAAGGGCATCTCAGATAGAGGGGAAAGTATCAAAAAAGGACAGGAAGCATGAGCACTTCAGCATTGCATTTACCAAATTCCATTGATTTTAAGATGCATATATTGGAAAACACTCAACTATTTTATTTATCATAGGAAAAAAAGACTCACAATTAATCCATGATAGGATTTTTTCTTCATAATTTTTATTTTATGCTATTAAGAGAGTTCTTTTAGATTTATGTAATGTGGATTTTATCATATTTTATTCTTGTGCATTTGTAAAAAGGAAAATATAAACAAAATAATATTCCTAATAGGTTTTTAAATTTAGAATCTGACTCTTCTGAATCACTGTTCCATGTATAATTGATAATATCCTTTTCTACACAGTGTTATTTATCCTTGTGTTTTTCAGTGTGCTGGTGATGCTGCAGTTCTTAACAGAGTGCTCTACTCTTGTCTTTGGGATTTTATTCCAAACTCCTGGACACCTAATCTGTACATCTTGACTTTACTGGGAGGTATCAAATAGATACCTTGATCTTACCAGAAGGTGTTCTTTTCTGAAAATGACCAGGACTCATACCTTTGTTTAAATCATCTTCATGTAATTTGTTGGCTTTTGAAATGTCAAGGGGTTGCATGTTGTCTGGTCATAACACTAAGGATATGAACTAGGCACAAATGGATAGTGGCTTCTGTCTTGCATGTGAGGCATAACTGGCCTGGCTGGCAGTGGTTGTAGGATGCTGTTGATAGAAGGCACACATCATGATTTTAGAAATGTTAATATATGAAAAAACTAAACATCTTAGAATTGATGAGATGTAGTACTATGATTTGGCATCAAGAAATCATTTGTGTAATTGAGTAATAGCTGTGTTCCTCAACATTCATAAAGAAAGAGTTGTCTTGGGGCCCCTGGGTGGCTCAGTCAGTTGAGTGTCTGACTCTTGGTTTCAGCTCAGGTCATGATCTTAGGGTCCTGGGATGGAATCAGGCTCCTTACTCAGTGGGTAGTCTGCTTGAGGATTCTCTCCCTCTTCCTCTGCCTCTCTCTCCCTAAAATAAAATAAATAAATCTTAAAAAAAAAGAGATGTCTTGTTCACCAAGGCATATGTCTGGCTCAAAGTAGATGGGTAATAAATATTTATGGAATAATGAGTAAAGGGTGGGGAAAGGACAATTAGGTTTCTTCATCTATGGTTACCTTGTCCAATTTGGTAGCCACTAGAGACATTGGCTAGTTAAATTTCAATTAATTGTAGTGAAATTAAACTCAAAATTTAGATCCTCGGTTGAACCAAGTACTCACTAGGCACAAATGGCTAGTGGCTACTATCTTGTATAGTGCAGATACAATACATTTGCTTCATCACAGAAAATTCTTTAGATAGGGTTGGTCTAGAACAAAGGGAACATGAAAGAAGGTATTGGGAAAGGAAGGAATGGGATTTTGGAGATTG